GGGCTGGGCTGCAGGGGACAGGTCAGCTGAGGTGGTGCCGCTCTTCTGCTGTCACCCCGCCATTCACTGCCTCCCCTGCTGAGCCCGTGGAGGACAGAAGCCCCTGTTTGTGTGCAGTCTGCTCTGTGGGGCTGCTGTCATCCTGTTTCTGGGACCTTAGGGAGGAGGAGGAGTGCTCCAGAAAATCTTAGTCTAGCCTATATTTCTAGTACACCTGTTCCTTAGTGCTGAACCTGCAGCTTGAGGGACCTTCAAAATGTGTGTGGGCTGCCAGACAGGGCTGAGCGTCCTTGCCTATGGCAGGGGAGGGGAACAAGATGGGCTTTAACGTCCCTTCCCACCCACATCATTGCAGGACTCTGTGATCCTGTGCTGTATGTTTCAGGGGCCAGAATTTGAGCGCAGAGTCTGGAGAGCCCCTGGAGCCTGACCCTGCTCTGGCTCCTCAGAGGGGAGGGCGCTGCAGCTGCCGCAGCTCTCCTGCCTGTGCTCAGCTCCTGCATCCCATAACTGCCGCCTCTCCCCACAGTTCAGCCGGACCCGGACCCCCACCCACCCGGCAGTGAAGCCCCCCCGACGCAGGCTGAGGGAGCAGAACAAGGAGAATGTGTTGCAGCTGGACAGAACCACCCTGAGTGGTGGGTGCACCCCCAGAGCCCCCGCCCAGCATAACCACAGCGTTAGTTCTGTTGCCAGCACCTATTCTGAGTTTGCGGTAATTCACCTCTTCTAACCCCCCTGTCACTGCACAGCACAGGACCTTTGCTCCTCCTGTGTCCCCCCGTGTGTCCCCCTGTGTCCCCTCTGTCCCTGCCCCTTGGAGAGCTGCTGGCAGAGCTGGTGGCAGAGGGCCCTGAGCAGCGCTGGGGACAGAGCCGTGCAGGGACAGCTCCAAGGCAGAGCCCCTGGGCGTGGAGTGAGCAGGGGCTCCAGGGGGGCTGCTTTCCTCTCTCAGGGTGGGGGACCCTGGGGGCCCGGGACAGCCTCTGTCCTCCCATCGGGCTGGGCTGAGCCAGACATTTACCATTGTGTGACACTAACAAAAGTTTTCTATTCTTTATACATTTCAGTAAAGAAAGGCATTAATGTTCACTGGCTACATAATACAATTTATATTCCATCTCCCTTTGGCGGCCTGGCCTGCCTCTCTCTGTCCCCTCTGAGCGGCGAGGCAGCAGCCCCCTCCCTTCCCTCATCCCTCTCGTTTCCCCGCTTGTTTCCACAGCGCCAACTCTCAAAGGCTTCCAGCTCTGAAAGCATCTCCCGTGTTCTCAACTCCACCACCAACAATGCCGCGTGATGCAGCCCTGCTCCGACAGCAATGCAGGGCCTGCCGCAGCTCCCGCTCCCGGATAACGCTCCCATCCGTTGCTGCTTTAGAAATGTGCTTTTATTAAATAAAAAATTTTAGATGTTGTAAATAAAGTTCTTGTACAGCCCCAGCCTCCGGGCGCGTCTGGGGGACCCTGCGCGGAGCGAGGGAGGCGGGGGCAGCACAGATCCGCGGGGCGCGGCCTGGGGGATCTCAGCCAATCAGGAGCAGGTGCTCCTGCTGCCGCTTTTCCGGCCAAGCCCAGCGGCCTCAATCTGTGCCGGGATTGGCCAAATTAACTGGAATTCCGAGCTCTGATTGGCTGAAAGAGCTGGCACTTCAATCCATGCGGTGATTGGCCAAACAAGGAGCCGTCCCTATTATTTCCTCATTGGCTAAAAAAAAAAAACAAAAACCTCGAACTTTCAATCCTCATCAGGATTGGCTGAAGAAGCAGTCCAATCCGAATCCTGATTGGCTGAAGAAGCAGTCCAACCCGAATCCTGATTGGCTGAAAAAGCTAGCGCTGCTGTGCCCTGATTGGCCGAACGGGCTGCAGAGCCGATCCGCTCCGCACCGGGAGAGGCTGCGCAAGCCGGGCGTGCCCTGGCGAGCCACGGCCGCAGCCTCAGTCCGGACCGTGCCGAGCCAGAGCCGCATCTCAGTCCGGACCTGCTGTGCGTCCCAGTCCCCCCGAGTTACTCTGCACGCCCCACAGGAGCAGAATCAGCCCCAGCTCTGTGCCAGCGCTGCTGTCTGTGCCACTCCCCAGAACGAGCACCGTGCTCACACAAACCCAGGCACAGCCCCGTGCAGTCCCCGCCCCAGGACAGCTTCACTGGAGCCCGATATGCTGGAACACGGCTCGCACACACCAACACGGCAGCCCTGATGGAAAAGTGAATTTAATGAACACATCCAGCCCGCCCCAGGGTGTCCCTGGCCCTGATGCAGCTGCAGCCCCACTCCAGCGTGTCACTCAGGTCACTGTGGGCTGAACTCAGGAGGGCTGTGCCGCAGGAGGGCTGCCTGCCCTGCCCTGAGCACAGAGCGGTCCTGCAGCTGGTCCTGCAGAGCAGAGCCTGCCCTCACCCCCATCTGCAGCACCCACAGCTCCTGGGGCCCTCAATGCTCCCGCACACGCACATAGGTGGTCCAAGGCCCACACACCACCTCCTCCACCCGCAGCCCCTCGGCCACTAGGTGCTCCACGCGGCGTGCCTGGTCACAGCTGGTGTTGTTCCCGTGTCCCAGCTGCCCGTATTTACCTGCACAAACAGTCATGACACTGGGGCCTCACAGGGCAATTGCTCCTGGTGTTTGTGGGGAGGGAACACAAGAGCCCCAGTGTAGACAGAACAGTACAGCGACAGAAGAGCCAAGGGCGAGAGAACAGGAACCAGAAGCTGCTCCCAGGGAGGCTGTACAGTCCCAAAGCAGGGGTGCCACTTACCCCAGCCCCAGGTGTAGAGCTCCCCGCCTCCTGCAACAGGGACAGCAGCATCAGNAGGCCAGGCATTGGGAGGTGGCTGTGTGGTGCTCTCCAGCACCTTGTTTGGCATGTTGCTGGTGTTCATGCACCTTCCTGGGGAACATCTCACTCACACCCAGGCCTGGTGGCTGTGGTGTTTGTATAAAAACTCCCAAGCATGAGCCGGGTGCTGGCAAAGTGTGGAACAGAGCTGATTTCTGGCCTCTTGCAGACGGAGGAAAGTACCATCCTGCAGATGGAGAAGAACCTGCGCACGTGTGTGGAGGTCCTGCAGAAGCAGAAGCGGGACCGTAAGCAGGAGCTGAAGGCCCTGCAGGAGCAGGACCGGGCCCTGTGTGACATCCTGTGCACAGCCCTGTTCTCCATCGACACCAGCAGCGTGCCCAGCCTGGACGACCTGGACCGCTACCGGCGCCACGTGGCCTCCCTCAACACCCTGAAGGTGAGCCTGGGGCTCAGGGGTCGCTGAGGCGCCCACAGGGGGCCCCTGCTTCTGACACTGCCCCCACCCCAGGAGCAAAGGCGGGAAGAATTTGTCAGCAACAAGCGTCAGATCGTTCTGCTCATGGAGGAGCTGGACCACACCCCGGACACCAGCTTTGAGCGGGACGTGGTGTGTGAGGATGAGGAGGCGTTCTGCCTGTCTGAGGACAACATCATGGCCCTCCAGAACCTGCTGCAGCAGGTACGCAGTGCTCTGTACTGGGCCAGTACTGGCCAGTACTGGGGCTGCCACCGCGATGTAAGAGCAGCTGCTGGGTTCTGGCAAGGCTGCTGTGTGTTAGAGCACGCTTCCAGGGCCACTGAGGGGCTCTCGTGTGCCACAGTGTGTTGCAGTTTGAATTGCTGCTAGTAAAGTCCAGGGTAAAGAAGCAAAAAAGGCTTTGGCATAATATCCATAGATGCTTAATTCAGCCGTGCCGTGAGATGTTCTCCTCTCCCACACACACCCCCCCAAGGTGCCCCTCTCCCCCACTGGCCTCCCTGCTGACCTTGATCTCCAGGCAGTATTGAGCTGAGGCTCTGTCAGGGAAAGGGAGGGAGAGCCTCAGGAGCACCTGTGTTGAGGCATAGGAACAGGGGAAGGAGCCAGTGGGGTGTAGCTTAGGAGAAGCCCCAGCACACCAGGAGGCTCAGTGGGTGCAGCAGAGCCAGAGGCTGCGCTGACCCCACACTCCCCTTCCCTTCCCTTCCCT